AAAGAGTCGTTAGAAAAATGAAAAATACTTTATTTCATTAATGTTAGCTGGTTTCAATATTAAAATAATCAAACAGGTCTCTCCAGCTTTCAGCTGGGCCCCTAGTTTCAGTCGAATTGAAATCAAAGACTGCTGGTATCGAAGTGAAGCCCTGAATGACAAGACTGCCCTTTATTGTATATTAAACAGTTTTTGCTTCCAAAAACTGATGGATTTTTCAAAAAAAAATCCATAAAGGTTTGGCGACAGACGCATGTTGAGTAGTAGGCGATGTATTCAATAATATTAATAATATTGATTGATTTTCTATTATTAGCAATTTTCGGGCTTCAACATACTTCATCAGCTTTTGTTTTTGTCCAAATTGAGAGTTTTGGAGGTTGTTCACTTGCTTTGGAGCAGCTAATGATAGTTGCTACCCCGCAGTGATAAAAGAGTCTTATGTAACTTGGAAGCGTTGAAAATAGGTATTTTTCTCTGCTCGTGTTTTTAAACGTTCTGTTTAAGCTTTATGCAAAAGCAAGTGCGAGCTAACGACGGGTTTTCGTTTCAATGGTAGTATCAATGCAATGGTTTCATCTGAGTAGTATCGGCGCCAATATTTACTAATTTTGAGGAGGGAGTTCGCGCCAAAAAAAACGCTGCTATTTTTGGTCAAAATTTTCCAAAAAGTTCCTAAAAATGCCTTTTTTGGCCCGTTTTTTCAAAGTTTTGCACGCGGCGCAAAAAATTTTGCTAAAACAGGGTCTTTTTAGAGGTCAAAAAATCAATTTGGTTGACCTAAAAGTAAAAAGGGAGGCAAAATGTTTCGCAATTTTTTTTTTTGAAAATTCGCTTCCCCCCCTCGAGAAAATCCTAGATCCGCCCCTGCTAAGCAGTAAAAAGAATTTGAAAAATTTAAAATTGTTAACAAAAGTCTCTAAATCCAAAGAGCTTTGATGATGTGTTTTTTCTTTACGCTTGGCAAGCGTTATCGAATCAGAATGTAGACTTTTTCCGAACTAGTTTAACAAAATCAAGTCGAATTACTTGCTCAATCAGCAGACATGCTCAATTTCATTTAAAATAAATTTAACTACTGGGTGTATACTAGTTACGATTTTGATAATTTTGGTTTTTTGACCGTTTTTTGAAACTTTCTGACTTTTCTCGAGAACTACTTTTTGAACCTGGTTTTTTGGGTTCAATCAAAATTAAAGCTTAGGCCAATCACTTCTGCATGAGCGGCTAAGCCCGTTTTCTTAAACAAAAAGCTTCGATTCTCCAAAATGTCAGCTATTCGATTTGTTGACCGTTTTTAGGTCTTTTCTCGATGACTATGCTGCCAAATCTGATATCATTGATTTAATTGACAGTTTTTTTACTTCACAGTTTTTTATGCCCAGTTTTTTTTAAATGTTATTGCCTTCAAACAAGTGAAATTCTTTTCGTGAAATTCACAGTACCAATTCTCAGCTTAAGTGTTCAATCGAGAAATTCGATTTTCGGAGTCTTCTCTTCTTTATAGGCCACTACCTGATTTAAGCAGAAAAAAGTTGCTGATTTTGGAAAGTCAATTGTTTGAACTTGACCGTTTTTTGAAAACTTTTTGACTTATCTTAAAAATTACCCTATCAAGTCTGAGATGAAAAACTCACTCGAGAAAAAGGGGATGCGCGAATTGTTCCTGCAGAAGCCTTTACCTATTTTTTTGTGTTATTTTCTGTGTTAAACAGAAAATTTATGTCTCTGGAAAAAGTCCAAAGTATAAAAAAATCTTACTCATTTTAGTTACTCTAGTTGACAAACAACTAAGGTTTTGGTCAAAGTCCAATTTTGGAAGTTATGCATTTCGTCATGCATCAGTATAACCAATTCAAGAAATATTGAATGCGTATGTCCAGCTTTATCTGTGCTCTAGGTGTTCTTCATCGAAATATACGAAAATTTAATCTCACCTAGTTGTATCGCAGCTCCGGTTCGCGTCGGTGTTAAATTCTCCCATTTTTTGCTTGAGTTTGTTAAGTTTTCGAGATCTGTTTGCTGTGTTTGTATATGATATTTGAACCTGGAGAACTTTCAAATACGAGGCTTTGAAAACTTAGACACACTAATTAAAATGGTTCTGGAATAAAGTGCAGCCCAAACGTTCGGCAGAAACAAGCGCTGTATCTGCTGCAAAACTGTTTTTGTCTATCATTTCAAAAATGAATCAAAATTAGGAGGGAGTCATCGGTCGCTCTGTATGAAAAGCGCAGTGCTCCGGCTCGCGCATTAATCACTGCAAAAAAATTGAAAACTAACACAAAAGACATTTTCTAAAATAATCTACTTTTTTCGTGTCACTGAATTCGGTAGTGAAAAAAACTGAAATTGAGCCTAAGAAATTGGCAAAACTGAGGTAAAAACGGCTTTTGAATTTTTTTCTTCAGATAGGGAGAAATTTTTCTCAGTTCTCAAGCACTGACCTAGCTGTAAAATGATTAGAATAGCAAACCGATATTTTTTACCGGTGTTTCTAGACACTAGAGCATTTTTGAAATACTTTCGCATCCAAGTCTAAATGCTCATCGACAAGGTAAAAGGCCAGCTAATGAGCTGTTTGATTCTTCGCCGAGAGCCGCTGTTGTGAACCTGGTTAAGAACTACAATCGATTTTTCGCTCTCTTACTGGGATCGGTGATGATTCGTTATGCACAAGCAATGAGTACTGCACATGGTGGGCTTGAACGACCCCACTCACCATTTGCACTTCTTTATCAGTTTAACTTCAGAAAGTGGAACGTTGTTTTGAAATGGCGTATTGTTTCACCCGATCTCAAATACCCACAAAAAATTGAGCCAAAAGAGTTTCCAAATTCAGCCGAAGCTTTTGCCATCCCGATAAATACTTGTCAAAGTCAAATTTGTGGTTGTTTTCTAAAAGAATTTTGCTATCTGTATGCGGATTATGGTTTCGACTAGGGCGAAAACTGCATATGCGGAATATGGTTTCGATTAGGCCGATAACTACAAAGAACTGAAAGAACTTATCATTATGTTTTCGGGTAATGGTTTTTGGCCCTAACAAATTTTTTGTAATTGTTTCAAAATCAACGTTTTTTTTTCCTATTCAAAGTTCTGTGATATTGCCTATTATTGATAGGCGCATGTACTTCTTGCTACTAGCAATCTTCTTTTTAAACTTAATTTTGGATATTGCTATGCGCAGTTTTATGTATCATCGGTAAGCATCATCTATATTTTTAATGAATCTGTGCTCTAGGTGTCCTTTATCGAAAAATACGAAAATTTTGTTACACCTAGTTTTTTAACACTTTTTATTTATTTTCTACTTAAGGTTAGAAGCTCCGGCTCGCGTCGGTGTTAAAATCTCCCATATTTTGCTTGAGTTTGATCTCTCTGTTTGCTGTGTTAGTATATGATATTTGAACCTGGAGAAGGTTCAAACACCAGGGTTTGAAAACTTAAAATAATTAACTAAAATTATTTTGCATTAGAGTGCAGCCCAAACGTTCAACAGAAACAAGCGCTGTATCGGCTGCAAAACTTTTTTGCTTATTATTTAACAAGTAAATCGAAATTAGTTAGGAGTCTTCGGTTGCTCTCATAAAACGCCCAGTGCTCCGAAACTTTTCCGACGCGCGCAGTAATCATTGCAATAAAATAGAAAACTAACACAAGACTTTTTCAAAAATAATCTTTTTTGGGGGGTCACTTAATTCGGTAGTGAAAAAAATTGAAATTGAGCCTAAGAGTTTTGGCAATACTGAGGTAAATACGGTTTTTAATTTTTTTGTCAGATAGGGAGAGAGTTTTCTCAGTTCTCAAGCACTGACCTATCTGTAAAAAGATCAGAATAGCAACCGAGATTTTTTTGAAATAACCGGTGTTTCTAGACACTGAGAGCACTTCTGAAATAGTTTTTCATTCAAATCTTAATGCTCATCCACGAGGTAAAGGGCCAGCATACGAGCTGTTCAGGTCTTTGCAGAGAGCCGCTGTTGTGAACCTGGTTAAGAGTAGCAGTCGATTTTTCGTTCTCTTTCTGGGATGGGTGATGTTTCCTAATGCACAAGTTATGAGTACAGCATATGGTGCGCTTGAACCACCTTTTACACATCTTGATCAGTTTAACTCCAGAAGGCGGAACGTTGTTTTGGAATGGCGTATTGTTTCACCCAATCTCCAATACCCTTAAAAAATTGAGCAAAAATTTTCCGAATTGAGCCGAAACTTTTGCCATACCGATAAATACTTGTCGAAGTTAAATTTCTGATTGATTTCTATAAGACTTTTGTTATGTGTATTCGGAATACGGAATATGGTTTCGATTAGGCCGATAACTACAAAGAACTGAAAGAATAATCAACATGTTTTCGGATAACTGTTTTTTGCCTAAATTATTTGTAAAATTTCAAAAATCAATTTCATTTTTCTTATTCGAAGTTCCTTGATATGGCCTATCATTGATAGGCGCATGTAATTCATGCTACCAGCAATCTTCTCTTTAATTTCAATTTTAGATATTGCTATGCGCAGTTTTTTGTATCATCGGGAAGCATCGTCATATTACATTATTTCAAGAGTCTTTTTTCATTCTTCTAAGTTAATATTTTCTTTTTTCTTATCAATTTCGTGGAAGATGTGGCATTGGAGTCTTCGACAATGAATAGTTTTTCATTTGGAATTTTAGCTCTTTGTTCCACTTTGCGAATTAAACTAAATTTTGTTCTGAAATTTTTTTTCACCATAATCATTCATTTTTGTGTCGCTGTTATAGCAACGCTTCGCGTGTTATAAATCTGAGAAGGCAAAGTTGTCTATTGGTAACTTAGAGCAAAAAACTAACCAGATGAACACTTTTATGCTAATTAATTTACGAACTTTACTGGTTAATAAATTTCCGGAAACTTCCTGGAGCCACTAGTCGTACAAATGTTTTTTTAACTTAGCTAAAGTTTTATCTGAACGTTCTATAATTGTTGCTACAATGCAGCTAGATTGAAAAACTTTGTTTGCAGATTTGAATTGATTTGAGCACCGGCATCGATCTCTATATTATCCTATTTCGGGTCTTATTTCTCCTTTCCACTCTTTCCTTCTCCCTTCACCAATTTGAATTTTTTTTGTTTTTTTTTGAGGTGATGATCAATGCTATTTTAAGTGCCTTAGGAGTTTATAGCCATAGTCGTCCGTAACATCGGTCGTCCGTTGGTTCCCGTTTGTCGTTTGGAGTTAATATTTGGTGTGAAGATGTTCTGTTAGACGAGCGAATTGACTGCGAACCCGCTCTCCCCTAGAAATTCTTCCACCACTTCATCTACACATTGAGTACATTTGCAGCTGTGAAGGTACTTGATATTAACGTAGTGCAGTCCATCATCGCACTGCAGAGGGAATGCCTTTTCCCCGATTTCTCCGAAACAGCACTCGCACAAGTGGTGCATCAGGACTCCTGCCTTGTCGAAGTCTGCCAGTTTGGTCGGCAGTTCAGAGGCTATCTCGGCAGAGTAAGGGCAAGCCCCGAGACATTGTCCGATGTCCACGACAGCCGGAACGCAGGCTGAAATTAAAAATTACCAATGGTACTTATTCAAGTTCTGAAGATCGTGAAAGCTTATATGGTTCAGCTGACGGTTAATTATTTAAAAGAAAACTAAACAAAAATAAGGATAGCCGGTTACTGTGCAAGTAGCACAGAATGATCCGACCATAGTCTTAAAAATGCAAAAGAGATTTTTCAAATTAGTGTCGTTTTGTTTCGGCGTGGTGTGATAAAAGGAGCTGAACGAAAAAAGGATTATTCGACAGTCATAGTAAAAAAGCAAATTGACAAACAATTTTTGTAAATTTATTTGTAAATTTGTTGACTAGAAAAACGAAAAATACTAAAATACTCGAAAAAACTCACGTTACTCGAATAAAATTAAATTTTTTAGGTTTTAGTTTAAGCTTCAACCGATCAAGCCATTTAAATAAGCTATAGTAAGCATTCTCTCGCTTTATTCGCGCGAATTAAAACGAAAAGCTTCAAACCGGTTTTTCTCGACACTGGGAAAAAATTTTAAGGTCGCTCGAATCACGACTTTAAGGGCTTTAAAATTATATATCTCTCAACTCTCTCCGATGATCATTTTTGGTAGCTTATTTTAGGTAGAAAACAAAAGAAAACGTAAACACCCGAATGCAAAGCTCCTCATATTTGAAATGGTCGGAACAATTATTCAGTTCTTTGTTGAAGCTTTATTTCTGTTACTGATTCCAAAAACTGTTTGTTGTTGATATTCGGAGTATTGCATTGATGTGTCGAATGTTAAGGAAAAGTAAGTATAAGCGATAAGTAATTGCTACCATCTTGATCAAAGCGGTCGTTTTTTTGTGGCACGCATTTAATTAATCTTCGATTTTTTTTATTTTTCATTTCGAGATGGCTCAATTCTTACTCTCGACGGTGATGTTGACGAAGTTTTCTTTCGTCTGGCATGGAGTGGGCACACACTTTCCACAGCAGTCGTTGTCGATGGCGTCCTGCATATCCTCTGGAGGCATGTAAATCTGACCTGGGGCACAGTCCTCCTGCTTAGACGGGCCATCCACGCACTTCATCTCCTGTGCAAAGTTCATTTTATTCAGTCAGCTATTTATTGATCCAATAATATTAAGCTTTTATTTATCAAGATTTATCCGCTGAAGAAGGAACAACATGCGGCTATTCAACTATTCACGGAGAATCGTTGTTGTGCCCTTAGTTAAGATTGAAACACATTTTTTTTCTTGGCTGGTTAATGTGACATCGTCCTCAAGCAACAGGCTCGAAATCATGGTGGGCCTCAAACTACCGGCCTATTGGTTGAAAGGCGAAGACTCCTCAAGTCTTAATAAGGTTATTAAGCCTTGGCGATGTTATTAAATCTTTGAAAAAATAAAGATACAGCTATCAGTTTTTCACATCCTAATTTAATACAACGGGAACCATAAATGTCTGATTTTACAGTTTTGTTCTCTCAATCACTTCTAACTGTGATATTTTTGAACGATTTTTTTTCTAGTTGGCGTTTTGTAATTTGATTTGATTTGATTTGGTTTAATGGGTGATTCATTTATGATTAGTTGCTCGTCTTGACTTCCTTAATATGTTACTATGTTAATGTGTATAACATGTGTGTGTGTGTGTGTGTGTGTGTGTGTGTGTGTGTGTGTGTGTGCTTGTGTGCGTGTATGTACCTTGAGGGTGTGGTTGTTTGAGCAGATGTAGTTGTAGCACTGGTCGTCGTAGACCACATCGTTCTCCCTGTACATGATGGTGTCCCCTGTGGAGTTGGTGTAGTAGCAGGCCTTGCAGTTGTCAGTGTCGTGGTAGCACTCCTCCTCCTCCTTCTCCCCTCCACTGCAACCAGCTCCCCCATAGTTCGCATGTCGAATGATACATCTAACAGTCAAACATCACAAAACAAGACACATGTTCACTTAGTTATTGAAAAAGAAGGTGATTCAACAAATTGTGCATACAGGCGTTTATTTCCCAACAACCCCTGATAGTTTGTTTATTACAATCTTTGAAAAGTTTTGAAGAGTATGTTTATGACGGGATGAAAATTGTTTGTGTCTCATATTTCTACGTGTTTTAATATGTGTCTAATAGAGTACCTCTCCCTCTCCCGGATGCAGTCTGAGTTGCACTGGGTCCACTCACTCCACTCTGTGGCCACACAGTTGATGGGGCAGTGGCCCACACAGGACAGTTGTCCATTCACACACGAGCTGCACAACACAAAGCACAATGAATCCATTCGAGTATACAAATCATTTTTTCTAAACTTTATATTCAAAAACTCAAAAACATAAATGGAAATAACCATTTTTGCTGTTGATATGTTAAAGCGTTTTTAATTCTAAAACATATCGATTTTATGAATTGAGAATTAGAATATTCGACCTGCGATCTTTTTCTTCTGCAATCATTTTGACATTTGATCTTTGCATCATGGGGGTTTAAAAATTGTCAATTTATGTTTTCAGTTTTCTAACAATGTCTCTTTATTTTCTACTTCGGGCGAGATAATCAGACAAAGAAATCGTTCCAGTTTAAAGTGAGAAAAAATATTTGGTCTCGTTAATGTGTTGCCTTTTTATTTTTCGGATAATTCTTAATCGCTCTAGAGACGGCTCTCAAGGAACAAGATTTTTATGAAAAAGTTACTTAATAATAAAATTAAATTTTTCCGGGGGTTAAATGAATTGGGACTTACTAATTTGCAATTGCGGGTGAAAATATAGAATCTGGCCATTCTATTGAACTTGTGTGAGCAAGTGTCTTGTAATGGGGTACTACTCATTTTTTCCGCAAACATTTTTACATTTTCGCCGTGAACAGTTTTTCTTACAAATGGGTAAGAATTTTTTTGACTGGAATATGTCGGTGACTCATACACAATTTGAGCTTTTCTGCATTTTAAAGCATAGACCACTGGCAGTTAACAATGTCAGAAAAACCGAAAATAACTGATTTGTTTTTCTAGTTTCAAAGTAAAAACTAGATAGCCTTAAAGCCTCTTGAATTCCAAGAATTGTTTATAATTGGCTTTTTTCTTAAGGTTATCCCAATTAGAAAAAACTGGATCAATAATTACCTTTTTTTAAAATTTCCCTGGGTTTTTCGAAAGCTTTTAGACTTTGAAACTAGAAGTCATTGACATTTTTTGCGAATTTGTACTTTTGCTGCTCGATATTGGAGTTTGCCAAATGTAACAATGAAGTAAACATAAAAACGAAAAACAAAGTACAATCGCAAAAAAATCAAATCTGCAGAAAAGTCAACTCGGACCTATTACCGTTGACACTCAATTACCTTTCTGTTTGAATCTTTTGTTTATATTAGTTGCCAGCCAACTCCAAAATTTTATTTCTTTTCTTTTGTTTTTTTTAAGATTAAAATGCTTATTCTTCTTAAAATGCTTATTCTTCTCAGTCTTCTGCTTAAACAGGTTCGGGTAATTTTATATTGACGCATATTGCGTCGATTGAATGACGATAAAAGTTTTTAATTTTATTGTGACGATGATTTTTTCGGCTCAATGGGCGTATACCCAAGCCTTCTCGGCTTTGCAATCGAAACAAGGTTTGTTTCGATGCTAATCTACTGCTACCAATCGTATGTCTCGACATGCGTTTCCTGTAAACAAAATTCATTCGAGACAAATCTTTCGAATTACGGTTTTCGTCTAATTTTTGTTGGGTTTTTGTTGGGTAGCTCACCGTGCTATGTGTATGATGTATCTATCTGATGCATCGGATCCGGATTATAAATATTGATCTATGATTGTTATCTTGTTTTAATGCAGCGACAGTACTAGCCACTAACCATGTTCTTCCTGGACAACATGTGCCCTGGTCAGTGCCATCCACGTAGTCGTCACACTCGCTGTCCCAGCATTGACACTCGTCCGCCATCACACACGAACTAGTCAATTCATCGAACACCATCGGGGGTGCACAGCTACACACAAACAATCATTATATTAGAGCAATTGAGAATGTGAGCATCGTTTTCATGACAGTACAATATTCGCCGACTCCATAGTACTGATGTCATTTCAATTTTTTTCTACGAGGATATAACTGAGTTTTAACGGAACTGGTTCGTCAGTTTCTGCAATTGATTGCAAAGAAGACTCTTGAATCTCAATTTAAGCTGTTGGAACCATTTATCCAATAGCAACTTGTAGTCTGCCTAATGAGAGATTGAGTGCGAACAGCTGTTTTTTTTTTAAATAAAAGTTATGCTGATTTTTTTCGCATGGAAAACCGAGATAGCTGTTTTGCATTTCACGAGGGTGTAGATAGATTAGATAGATACCTGCAGGAGTGAGAGTAGTCTTCGTCATCGGCCAAGTGCTCTGCGTCTACGGAGGTGATGTCATATGGGTTGCAGTAGAAGTCTGAGCCGAGGGAGGAGCAGGTGGTGCCACAGTGTCTAGTCACATTGCTCCTACTCATGTCCAGGCCGCCTGCACAGTTAGATAGTGTATCGGATAGTAATAAATCTATCGCTCAATAATTATTCAGGTAAAATTCTTTTGTTTCAACTTTTAACCGACATCGATTGCTCGAGCGTAGTGAAATCATTGAGAAGCTCAGGTTATCGAAAACAAAAACTATCAGCTTTGAGGTTTTTTAGTAGACTTTGCTTGGCACTATGTTCAGAATGTGTCGTCGCTAGGGTCTTAATTTTCCGGTCGGAAATTAAATTTAATTGGACTGTAAAGGTCTGAACATAAAATCGCGACCTCGACTGGGGTTTTCTATTCACATTTCTTAATGTTCTTCTATCCCGATTCATTATGCTTGCTTTTTGCACCCCCACAGAAGCAAAACCCTGCCGTGAGTTGCATACCAGGTGCCTATGAATTTGAAAAAATACTTGGTTTTTATTAAGTCATTGCCATGAACAATTTTGGTGCATATCTTAGTTGATTACTACTGTGCTATATCGTGTTCAGCAACACACTCACATGGGTCAGTAGTGTCGTCCTGGCACAGCTCACTGTCCCTGTTGCAGGTGCGGTGCTCCTGGTCTCTGCCGTCACAGAAGTGAACGTTCTCCTCGAACTTGATGTTGCATTCCCGCACTCTCTTCTGCACCCCAATCAGACCACAGGTGCCGGCTGAACACTCACTCCATTCGGACCAGCTGCCCCACTCTAGTGAATAACACAACAGCACCTCAAACTACCCTCATTTTTCTGTATTTTAACCCTTGCGATAAGCAAGGGTATTGTAACCGTTACTACACTCTTCTCCCGTAAAAACCATCTCCATTTTTAGTTGATCTTCCAATCCGTACTTGCGTCAATCAAAAGACATATTTAGGGCGTGTCTGCGTTTTAATTTTCGTTATATTTACGCTTGCGACTTGAGAGCGTTATCAAATCGGAATAGAGACTTTTTTGGGTTAGAGCAAATTGTTTAACAGAATCACTCTTGGTATCTTGGTTCAAAATGATTTCAATGTTTTAATTAATGTCCCGTACTTTTTAGTCCAGAGGTAAATAATGCGGCTGAGACGACATAGGTCCTGGTGACCAGGACCTAACTTTTTTAAACGGGAAATACTCCGTGTTTACACTTGCGAAGCTAGTGTATTAGTACGAACCTTAGTACGAGCGTAGCTTCGCCTGTGTTAAAAAAATTGTCGGCCTTTTATTTGTCTCCTTATTTTTTATCGGCTTAATTGCCATATCTAAGATAATTTTTTTGTTGAACGCAATTTTCATTGTAGTGGATTCTAATATTTTGATTAACTCTTACAGTTTAAATTTTGCTTTCTTGTTTTTTTTTCGCTTAAAACAAAACGAGTTCGGCGTATAATTTATCGGCTTAGCTACCTAATTTTCTTTAGTACACATTTATCATGAAAACAATTTTGTTTTCGGCTCTACGGGATTTTATCCAAGTTTTATCGGCTCAGTTCCCGCGCGATAATTGGTTGTGAATTTTCATCAAACTCCGTCGATTTTCTTTCCTTTTGTGTTTTGTGCAAATAAAACATCATGCCAGACAACATTTTTTTAATTGTGGTTTTCTCGATTTTTTTTTCATTTTCTTTCTGGACTTACTGGGTCTTCTTTCCTTTCCTGTCTTGCTTGCAATGTTTTTGTTATCAAGAGTCGATGAACATAGCTTAGACTCTTTTATAGATGCTTATGATTTTTTCTTCAGGAACAGTCTTAAAATTTGTACAGGCTCAAATTTACTTATCTGCGGGGTTTGACTTACGATTTTTTGTGAAATTCACTTCATTTCCTTTGTTAAAAGGAAGGCAAACTCCGCTATTGAACAGCAAGTGTAATGATTACGAAAAGTCTGAACGATTTCTAGTTTCGAAAGTGGAATTTCACTTTCAGGTTTCCCAGTGGAACAAAAAAGTTACCAGAAAAGTGTCATTCATAAATAGTACTAGAAATTCAAAAAGCTTTAAGGGCATCAATCTTTTGCTTTAAACTTCCGAAGTCATTTTTTTCTGTTTTTTGTTTACTTTTTTGCGTTTATGGACTCTTTTCCTACTGTCTGTTGGCTATATTGTGGTATTGCAAGTGATAAGAGCTTTGTTTGCTTATCCGCTGTCTTAAAAATTGTCTTACGCTATTTTTCAACAAACCGGCTTCAAATGTTTCGGCTTATGTATTATCGGTTTTGTGGCTTGATATTGCATCGTAGAGCGAATATTTTCCTGAAGTATGTGAGAAAGTGGACTTAGATTTTTCCGAAAATCAGGTTTTTTATTGATTTTTTTTTGGTTGAATTGATGTCTGCTCATGTGTTGTCGGCTTTGTTATTGCTATGTTTACTAGTCAATTGTCCTAGTTGAAAAAATATATTGTTAATGGCAGCATTTTGCAATCAATTTTTTGTCGACTAGTTTTTTTAGTGTTTTCGGAGTAATGAAGTTTTCCGTATATGGTAGGTGGCATTGTTTTAAGACCAGTTTTCTCCATTCGAGTTGGTAAGTGCATATCGTTAATGAATAGTAGTTACGTTTGAAAATAGACAAAAAGGTCCTACTTGATGGGCTGCAAAAACTTCAGCTGTTCTTAAACGTAAGAGAACGAAGTGATTGTCACTTAAAAAGGTTTTGATGTTTTTTTTTTTTTTCATTTTATTTTCGTTTGCTTTTTTTAAAGAAAAAAGTCTTGAAAATTGTTCATGCTTTCGTTTGCTTTTTCGCGGATCGATTTTGGATGTTTTAAGTTCAGCAAGAATTGAATTTAGACTTTTCTCCAGGAGAGAGCGGATCTAGGATGTTGTAGAGATTTTACCTCTCTTTTTTAGGTTGGCCAAATTGATTTTGCGAGCTCTCCTATATTAGTACAGATGCTATTTTGACTACATTGAAAGATCCTAGTTTTGATTGACCTATTTTTTGATAGAAAAAACAGATCAATCAAAGCAGTGAAACGAAAAAAAACTACCTTTATCCAGTTTTATCTAATTAGAATAATTTTATTACGCTAGGGTATTGCAATCCGATAAGCAAGGGTATTGCTACCCGGTACTAGACTTTTTTCTCCTGAAAATAAATTTCGTCACAGAATGGTCAATTTAGGAACAATAAATTTCAAGAGATGCTCAATTTCTTAAAAACTCAAATAAAAGTACCTCATTTAATTAGTTAAGTTAGTAGGTGGAGTACGTTTGGGGCAGCAGTTATTTTTTTAAATGAGTTTATTGAGAAAATATTGATTTTTTTCGGATTTGTGGTTTTAGGCCTAATTTCTGTCGGTTCATTTTCCGTGTTTTTTAAATATCATTTTTATTATCTTTACTAGTGTTTATCAACCTATGTTGTGAAGCATGGATTTTATTTTGATTATAATTTTTTTACACTATAATTGAAAGTTCTGTAATTTGTCATTTGACCACGTCTGATTTTAAATAGTTTTTTTAAGTGATTTTTTTTTCAACTAAATGGTGTTGGTTGATGTTGTATTGGCTTAGTCAAGTTATATTTTGAAAAAATCTTGTTCGACAAAATCAGAAATTATGAAAATGTATGGGATTGGTTTTTTTTTTACTTTTTTGAGACGCTTTCAGTAGAGAACTTTTCTACCGAAATTCAAAAAAGCGTATCAGTCATAAGAGCGCCTGCGTGCCTGCACAGTCCGCTTGTCTCTCTGTACTTTACCTTACTGTCTGCAGCCTTCGAAATGTCTGTGGGGGTAAGGTTTCACCCACATTTTTAGATTTTTTTTTCGTTTTCTGCGCTCCCAAATCTGATATTTTAGATTCAATGGTTAGAATACGTTCTGGGAAACTCACCTGCATAGCGGCTGCGTTCAATTTTTTATCTTAAAAATCATGGTCCTCGGAAAAGTTAATAATTGGTTTCAGTACCGTCTTGACTTTTTTGGAAAACGGAACGCTAGAATCTTGAGTTTTTGCCTTGAATCGAAACAACAGATTGTGTGAATATCTTCTGCTCAAGCGGCTACACCCAATTATTTTTAAACAAAAAGATGTTATTTGCAGAACAATCATTTTTTGATTTTTGACCATTTTTGAAAATTTTTAACATTTCTCGATAACTGCTTAGCCAATTCTTGGGTTAAGTTTTCAGGTTCAATCGAGAAATCCGGTTTTGGTATTATTCCATGTTTACGCGGCTACCACCTTCTCATTGTAGAAATGAAATGATAAACTTCGGAAAGTCAAGTTTTTGAACTTTGACCGTTTTTCAGAAACTTTTTGATTTTGATAGAAACTATCTTATCAAATTTGAGTTGAAGGGTTCAATCAAAAGAGCCTGTTGCAAAAATTTTCCTACAGAAGCGGCGGCTCCGTATTTTTTGCGAGAAAATTTTTTGGTATTTGGGATATGTTTCTTTAAAAAAATTCAATCCTCTTGCTTATTCTAGTAGAGAATCAACTAAGTTTTCGGGCAACGTCAAAGTTCTGAATTTTTTCATTTCATCCAGCATAAGTAAAACAAATATCAAACAGCCACGTTCAAGTTTTACTGGGCCCATAGCTTTGGTTTCTTTAGATTTTTTCAACATATTTGTTTTTTGACGTGTTTTTTTTTATGCTTGTGTTGTATCGCAAGTGATATGAAGCTCAGCTTCGCTTCTTTGTTGAAAAGTGCAAATCATGAATAATTGCAAATTTTTCAATCACTTTTTTTGGTTTCTCTGAACTTTTCTACACATTACCAACCATCTGTTGGCTTTGTTTTAAACTAATCATCTTGAGCGAGAACTGTTTCTTTACCCGGCTACAGCATGATTTTTGCAGATAATTTTAGTAAATAGTGCTATCTAATCTAAATCTACAGGTTTTTCTGTTCGATTTTCTTTTTCGTTTTGATGGTTCGGCGCAATACTTAAATTCGGAGCCTTTCGATTTTATTGATTCACCTCACTTGCTGTCTAAATTGTTATTGTAATGTCTAAAATTGTACTGGAATGGAGGACGAGCTGCATTTTTGATAGTCGAAAAAAAACAAGACTAACCTCGAATATCATGACGATCTCCCCAGGAGTTACAATATTCTTGACTAGTTGTGCTACTCGTGGTAGAAGATGTAGTTGAAGACGTGGTGCTGCTTGATGTAGGCGAAGAAGTGCTGCTTGTTGTTGATGAAGTTCCTGTTTGATGAAAACAGATATTATGAAGAAAAAAAATTGGTATACGGTTTTTTCAATTAATTATTTTTTTGAAACGCTCTGCAAAATGTTCTCACTTTTCTCAAAGAAAATAGTTTTTTTTTAAAAGTGGAACTATGAAAAGTCCGACCCTTCTTGCGTCTGCCTGCATAATCCGCTGGGCCCATTTTCTACAGCCTTCAAAAAAGTCTGTGGGAGGAATAATTGACACATATTTTCGGACTTGTTTTCTCGAAAACTAGCCTCTAAAACCTGACTTTTTGAGTTCAGTGGATAGAACGGGTTGTGGAACTCTCTTTTGCATAAGCGGCTCCGTCCATTTTTTTTAAAACGAAAAGTTCTGGACCTCGGAAAAGTCTATTTTTCCGACTTTTTTGACCGTCTCAAAAATTACCCTACGGTCTCAAAAATTACCCTCCTAAACCAGATTTTGAATTCGATAGAAAAAATAGGCTGCTAGGAGCTCCCCTTCGCAAACAGATACGCCCAATTTTTTTAACACAAAAGTTATAGCCCTCAGAAAAGTTAAATTTTCGCTTTTTTCCACAATTTTTCGAATTTTTCTGAACTGATTTTTCGCAGTAACTACCCTCCTAAATCTGAGATTTTAAAATCAATTCTTACACGTAAAACAATGATCCTCGGAAGAGTCAAAGTTTTGATTTTTTGATCGTTTTTCAAACTATTTGGGTTTTCCAAGAAAAAAAAACATTTCCAAATTGAGATTTTGTTTTCAATAGAAAGAACGAGTTGAAGAAAGCTCCGTTGCAAAAGCGGCTACGCTCAAAATTTTTAACAAAAAAAAATACGCCCTCGGAAAGGTCAAATTTGTGACTTTTGACAGTTTTTTGAAACGTGTGAACTTTTCTCAAAAAATACCATCCAAAATCTGAGATTTTTGCATCAACCGAAAAAACAGGGAATGAATGAAGCAATTTTGAATTCAATCAAAAAAATAGGTTGCGTGAAGCTCCACTGCATTAGCAGCTAAGCCCTAGTATTTATTCACAAAAGTTTGGCCTTCAAAAAGTCTAAATTTTGACTTTTTGGTCGTTTTTTGTAAGTTTTTGTGTTTTTGAAGTTTTTTTAGTTATGGGTTCAATAGAGAAAACGGGCTTTGGGAAGTTTCTGTGCATCAGCGGCTAAGCCTAGTTTTGTGTTGAAAAGATGTAGATGTACTTTTTGTGAAATCTTGAGTTTGATTTCTGGACTGTTTTTTGAAACATGACTTATCACGAAAACTACCAACTAAAACATGAGATATTGGGTTCAATCAAAAGAAAGGGTTGAGAGAACCTCCCCTGCTGTATAAGCAGCTGCGTTCGATTTTTTATACAAAAGGTTATGGCGCTCAGAGAAGTCCAGTCTTTAATGGCCTGTCCGTTTTTTGAAACTTGAAAAATCTCAAAAACTACCCAGTCGAATTTGATATCGAAGTGTTTATCAAGGCAACAGGTTGTGGGAAGACTTCGAGCAAAAACTGCTACACCTTATACTTTGTAAGAACAATGTCCTTGGAAAAATTCCGAAATTCTCAAAAAAAATTTCACTGGAAAAGCAACCAGGTTTTTTCTGCAAGATCAACTTTTGATTTTCTTAATTGACCATTTCATGCCGCATCAGCACAAAAAGTTCAAAAACATCAAACAGGTACCTCCAGCTGTAATTGGGCCTCTAGTGCTGCTTGTTGTTGATGAAGTTATAGATGAAGATGTGCTGCTGGATGTAGGCGAAGAAGTGCTGCTTGTTGTTGATGAAGATCCTGGTTGATAAAAACAAATATTTTGAAAAAAAAAACATATTGGCATCAGGTTTTTTCTGTTTTTTTTTTATTTTATTTTTGAGACGCTTCGCAAAATGTTTTTCTTTTTTCTTATAGAAAATAGTTTTCTCCAAAACTACTCAACCATTTTTTCTAAAAAGTGGTACCATGAAAAAACGCTCACTTTTCGGTGTCGTTTTAACTTACCTCATTTCTACAGCCTTCAAAAAAATCTGGGGGGAATAATTGACAAATATTGTCTCGAAAACTAGCCTCTGAAAATATCAAACAGGTACCTCCAGGTGTAATTGGGCCTCTAGTGCTGCTCGTTGTTGATGAAGTTATAGATGAAGACGTGCTGCTTGTTGTAGGAGACGACGTCGATGAAATAGTGCTGCTCGTTGTGGAGGATGACGTTGGTGATGATGTTGATGAAGTTGTTGCAGAAGATGTACTGCTGGTAGTGGATGATGTGGAGCTACTTGTTGTAGGCGAAGAAGTTGACGAGGTCGTGCTGCTTGTAGTGGATGATGTTGTCGGAGAGGATGAGCTGCTAGTGGTTGGGGATGAAGTAGATGATGTTGTCGATGAGGAGGTACTGCTGGTAGTTGGCGATGATGTTGAAGAAGTTGTGCTGCTAGTTGTAGACGAAGAACTTGATGATGTTGTGCTGCTAGTGGTAGGTGAAGAAGTTGATGAAGTTGTGCTACTAGTTGTGGAAGATGTTGTGGGTGAAGAGGTGCTACTGGTTGAGTGAGAGCTTGTACTAGAAGTAGAATGAGAAGAAGTACTGGAAGTTGAATGACTGGAAGTGGAAGATGTGGTCGACGAAGTTGTGCTACTGGTAGTAGGTGATGATGTAGATGAAGTTGTGCTGCTTGTTGTGGATGATGTGGTGGGAGAGGAAGTACTACTTGTTGTAGGAGAAGATGTTGACGAAGTGGTGCTGCTTGATGTGGAAGAGCTAGTTGGCGAAGACGTGCTACTTGTGCTAGATGATGTCGTACTGCTCGTAGTTGGTGACGAAGTTGAAGATGTAGTGCTGCTGGTAGACGAGGAAGTTGTTGAACTGGTAGTTGGTGAGGAAGTAGATGATGTGGTACTACTGGAAGTAGGCGAGGAACTGCTGCTTGTGGTAGAGGAAGTGGTACTGCTAGTAGATGGAGAAGAAGTTGACGATGTTGTGCTACTTGTAGTAGAAGATGAAGTGGGAGAGGAAGTACTACTTGTTGTAGGAGACGATGTCGATGAAGTAGTGCTGCTCGTTGTGGAGGATGACGTTGGTGATGATATTGATGAAGTTGTGCTGCTAGAAGTAGATGATGTTGTTGGAGAAGATGTACTGCTGGTAGTGGATGATGTGGAGCTACTTGTTGTAGGCGAAGAAGTTGACGAGGTCGTGCTGCTTGTAGTAGATGATGTTGTCGGAGAGGATGTGTTGCTAGTGGTTGGGGATGAAGTAGATGATGTTGTCGATGAGGAGGTACTGCTGGTAGTTGGCGATGATGTTGATGATGTTGTGCTGCTAGTGGTAGGTGAAGAAGTCGATGAAGTTGTGCTGCTAGTGGTAGGTGAAGAAGTTGATGAAGTTGTGCTACTAGTTGTGGAAGATGTTGTGGGTGAAGAGGTGCTACTGGTTGAGTGAGAGCTTGTACTAGAAGTAGAATGAGAAGAAGTACTGGAAGTTGAATGACTGGAAGTGGAAGATGTGGTCGACGAAGTTGTGCTACTGGTAGTAGGTGATGATGTAGATGAAGTTGTGCTGCTTGTTGTGGATGATGTGGTGGGAGAGGAAGTACTACTTGTTGTAGGAGAAGATGTTGACGAAGTGGTGCTGCTTGATGTGGAAGAGCTAGTTGGTGAAGACGTGCTACTTGTGCTAGATGATGTCGTACTGCTCGTAGTTGGTGACGAAGTAGAAGATGTAGTGCTGCTGGTAGACGAGGAAGTTGTTGAACTGGTAGTTGGTGAGGAAGTAGATGATGTGGTACTACTGGAAGTAGGCGAGGAACTGCTGCTTGTGGTAGAGGAAGTGGTACTGCTAGTAGATGGAGAAGAAGTTGACGATGTTGTGCTACTTGTAGTTGAAGATGAAGTGGGAGAGGAGGTACTACTTGTTGTAGGAGACGATGTCGATGAAGTAGTGCTGCTCGTTGTGGAGGATGACGTTGGTGATGATATTGATGAAGTTGTGCTGCTAGAAGTAGATGATGTTGTTGGAGAAGATGTACTGCTGGTAGTGGATGATGTGGAGCTACTTGTTGTAGGCGAAGAAGTTGACGAGGTCGTGCTGCTTGTAGTAGATGATGTTGTCGGAGAGGATGTGCTGCTAGTGGTTGGGGATGAAGTAGATGATGTTGTCGATGAGGAGGTACTGCTGGTAGTTGGCGATGATGTTGATGATGTTGTGCTGCTAGTGGTAGGTGAAGAAGTCGATGAAGTTGTGCTGCTAGTGGTAGGTGAAGAAGTTGATGAAGTTGTGCTACTAGTTGTGGAAGATGTTGTGGGTGAAGAGGTGCTACTGGTTGAGTGAGAGCTTGTACTAGAAGTAGAATGAGAAGAAGTACTGGAAGTTGAATGACTGGAAGTGTAAGATGTGGTCGACGAAGTTGTGCTACTGGTAGTAGGTGATGATGTAGATGAAGTTGTGCTGCTTGTTGTGGATGATGTGGTGGGAGAGGAAGTACTACTTGTTGTAGGAGAAGATGTTGACGAAGTGGTGCTGCTTGATGTGGAAGAGCTAGTTGGTGAAGACGTGCTACTTGTGCTAGATGATGTCGTACTGCTCGTAGTTGGTGACGAAGTAGAAGATGTAGTGCTGCTGGTAGACGAGGAAGTTGTTGAACTGGTAGTTGGTGAGGAAGTAGATGATGTGGTACTACTGGAAGTAGGCGAGGAACTGCTGCTTGTGGTAGAGGAAGTGGTACTGCTAGTAGATGGAGAAGAAGTTGACGATGTTGTGCTACTTGTAGTTGAAGATGAAGTGGGAGAGGAGGTACTACTTGTTGTAGGAGACGATGTCGATGAAGTAGTGCTGCTCGTTGTGGAGGATGACGTTGGTGATGATATTGATGAAGTTGTGCTGCTAGAAGTAGATGATGTTGTTGGAGAAGATGTACTGCTGGTAGTGGATGATGTGGAGCTACTTGTTGTAGGCGAAGAAGTTGACGAGGTCGTGCTGCTTGTAGTAGATGATGTTGTCGGAGAGGATGTGCTGCTAGTGGTTGGGGATGAAGTAGATGATGTTGTCGATGAGGAGGTACTGCTGGTAGTTGGCGATGATGTTGATGATGTTGTGCTGCTAGTGGTAGGTGAAGAAGTCGATGAAGTTGTGCTGCTAGTGGTAGGTGAAGAAGTTGATGAAGTTGTGCTACTAGTTGTGGAAGATGTTGTGGGTGAAGAGGTGCTACTGGTTGAGTGAGAGCTTGTACTAGAAGTAGAATGAGAAGAAGTACTGGAAGTTGAATGACTGGAAGTGGAAGATGTGGTCGACGAAGTTGTGCTACTGGTAGTAGGTGATGATGTAGATGAAGTTGTGCTGCTTGTTGTGGATGATGTGGTGGGAGAGGAAGTACTACTTGTTGTAGGAGAAGATGTTGACGAAGTGGTGCTGCTTGATGTGGAAGAGCTAGTTGGTGAAGACGTGCTACTTGTGCTAGATGATGTCGTACTGCTCGTAGTTGGTGACGAAGTAGAAGATGTAGTGCTGCTGGTAGACGAGGAAGTTGTTGAACTGGTAGTTGGTGAGGAAGTAGATGATGTGGTACTACTGGAAGTAGGCGAGGAACTGCTGCTTGTGGTAGAGGAAGTGGTACTGCTAGTAGATGGAGAAGAAGTTGACGATGTTGTGCTACTTGTAGTAGAAGATGAAGTGGGAGAGGAGGTACTACTTGTTGTAGGAGACGATGTCGATGAAGTAGTGCTGCTCGTTGTGGAGGATGACGTTGGTGATGATATTGATGAAGTTGTGCTGCTAGAAGTAGATGATGTTGTTGGAGAAGATGTACTGCTGGTAGTGGATGATGTGGAGCTACTTGTTGTAGGCGAAGAAGTTGACGAGGTCGTGCTGCTTGTAGTGGATGATGTTGTCGGAGAGGATGTGCTGCTAGTGGTTGGGGATGAAGTAGATGATGTTGTCGATGAGGAGGTACTGCTGGTAGTTGGCGATGATGTTGATGATGTTGTGCTGCTAGTGGTAGGTGAAGAAGTCGATGAAGTTGTGCTGCTAGTGGTAGGTGAAGAAGTTGATGAAGTTGTGCTACTAGTTGTGGAAGATGTTGTGGGTGAAGAGGTGCTACTGGTTGAGTGAGAGCTTGTACTAGAAGTAGAATGAGAAGAAGTACTGGAAGTTGAATGACTGGAAGTGGAAGATGTGGTCGACGAAGTTGTGCTACTGGTAGTAGGTGATGATGTAGATGAAGTTGTGCTGCTTGTTGTGGATGATGTGGTGGGAGAGGAAGTACTACTTGTTGTAGGAGAAGATGTTGACGAAGTGGTGCTGCTTGATGTGGAAGAGCTAGTTGGTGAAGACGTGCTACTTGTGCTAGATGATGTCGTACTGCTCGTAGTTGGTGACGAAGTAGAAGATGTAGTGCTGCTGGTAGACGAGGAAGTTGTTGAACTGGTAGTTGGTGAGGAAGTAGATGATGTGGTACTACTGGAAGTAGGCGAGGAACTGCTGCTTGTGGTAGAGGAAGTGGTACTGCTAGTAGATGGAGAAGAAGTTGACGATGTTGTGCTACTTGTAGTAGAAGATGAAGTGGGAGAGGAAGTACTACTTGTTGTAGGAGACGATGTCGATGAAGTAGTGCTGCTCGTTGTGGAGGATGACGTTGGTGATGATGTTGATGAAGTTGTGCTGCTAGAAGTAGATGATGTTGTTGGAGAAGATGTACTGCTGGTAGTGGATGATGTGGAGCTACTTGTTGTAGGCGAAGAAGTTGACGAGGTCGTGCTGCTTGTAGTGGATGATGTTGTCGGAGAGGATGTGCTGCTAGTGGTTGGGGATGAAGTAGATGATGTTGTCGATGAGGAGGTACTGCTGGTAGTTGGCGATGATGTTGAAGAAGTTGTGCTGCTAGTTGTAGACGAAGAACTTGATGATGTTGTGCTGCTAGTGGTAGGTGAAGAAGTTGATGAAGTTGTGCTACTAGTTGTGGAAGATGTTGTGGGTGAAGAGGTGCTACTGGTTGAGTGAGAGCTTGTACTAGAACTAGAATGAGAAGAAGTACTGGAAGTTGAATGACTGGAAGTGGAAGATGTGGTCGACGAAGTTGTGCTACTGGTAGTAGGTGATGATGTAGATGAAGTTGTGCTGCTTGTTGTGGATGATGTGGTGGGAGAGGAAGTACTACTTGTTGTAGGAGAAGATGTTGACGAAGTGGTGCTGCTTGATGTGGAAGAGCTAGTTGGTGAAGACGTGCTACTTGTGCTAGATGATGTCGTACTGCTCGTAGTTGGTGACGAAGTAGAAGATGTAGTGCTGCTGGTAGACGAGGAAGTTGTTGAACTGGTAGTTGGTGAGGAAGTAGATGATGTGGTACTACTGGAAGTAGGCGAGGAACTGCTGCTTGTGGTAGAGGAAGTGGTACTGCTAGTAGATGGAGAAGAAGTTGACGATGTTGTGCTACTTGTAGTAGAAGATGAAGTGGGAGAGGAAGTACTACTTGTTGTAGGAGACGATGCCGATGAAGTAGTGCTGCTCGTTGTGGAGGATGACGTTGGTGATGATGTTGATGAAGTTGTGCTGCTAGAAGTAGATGATGTTGTTGGAGAAGATGTACTGCTGGTAGTGGATAATGTGGAGCTACTTGTTGTAGGCGAAGAAGTTGACGAGGTCGTGCTGCTTGTAGTGGATGATGTTGTCGGAGAGGATGTGCTGCTAGTGGTTGGGGATGAAGTAGATGATGTTGTCGATGAGGAGGTACTGCTGGTAGTTGGCGATGATGTTGATGATGTTGTGCTGCTAGTGGTAGGTGAAGAAGTCGATGAAGTTGTGCTGCTAGTGGTAGGTGAAGAAGTTGATGAAGTTGTGCTACTAGTTGTGGAAGATGTTGTGGGTGAAGAGGTGCTACTGGTTGAGTGAGAGCTTGTACTAGAAGTAGAATGAGAAGAAGTACTGGAAGTTGAATGACTGGAAGTGGAAGATGTGGTCGACGAAGTTGTGCTACTGGTAGTAGGTGATGATGTAGATGAAGTTGTGCTGCTTGTTGTGGATGATGTGGTGGGAGAGGAAGTACTACTTGTTGTAGGAGAAGATGTTGACGAAGTGGTGCTGCTTGATGTGGAAGAGCTAGTTGGTGAAGACGTGCTACTTGTGCTAGATGATGTCGTACTGCTCGTAGTTGGTGACGAAGTAGAAGATGTAGTGCTGCTGGTAGACGAGGAAGTTGTTGAACTGGTAGTTGGTGAGGAAGTAGATGATGTGGTACTACTGGAAGTAGGCGAGGAACTGCTGCTTGTGGTAGAGGAAGTGGTACTGCTAGTAGATGGAGAAGAAGTTGACGATGTTGTGCTACTTGTAGTAGAAGATGAAGTGGGAGAGGAAGTACTACTTGTTGTAGGAGACGATGTCGATGAAGTAGTGCTGCTCGTTGTGGAGGATGACGTTGGTGATGATGTTGATGAAGTTGTGCTGCTAGAAGTAGATGATGTTGTTGGAGAAGATGTACTGCTGGTAGTGGATGATGTGGAGCTACTTGTTGTAGGCGAAGAAGTTGACGAGGTCGTGCTGCTTGTAGTGGATGATGTTGTCGGAGAGGATGTGCTGCTAGTGGTTGGGGATGAAGTAGATGATGTTGTCGATGAGGAGGTACTGCTGGTAGTTGGCGATGATGTTGATGATGTTGTGCTGCTAGTGGTAGGTGAAGAAGTCGATGAAGTTGTGCTGCTAGTGGTAGGTGAAGAAGTTGATGAAGTTGTGCTACTAGTTGTGGAAGATGTTGTGGGTGAATAGGTGCTACTGGTTGAGTGAGAGCTTGTACTAGAAGTAGAATGAGAAGAAGTACTGGAAGTTGAATGACTGGAAGTGGAAGATGTGGTCGACGAAGTTGTGCTACTGGTAGTAGGTGATGATGTAGATGAAGTTGTGCTGCTTGTTGTGGATGATGTGGTGGGAGAGGAAGTACTACTTGTTGTAGGAGAAGATGTTGACGAAGTGGTGCTGCTTGATGTGGAAGAGCTAGTTGGTGAAGACGTGCTACTTGTGCTAGATGATGTCGTACTGCTCGTAGTTGGTGACGAAGTAGAAGATGTAGTGCTGCTGGTAGACGAGGAAGTTGTTGAACTGGTAGTTGGTGAGGAAGTAGATGATGTGGTACTACTGGAAGTAGGCGATGAACTGCTGCTTGTGGTAGAGGAAGTGGTACTGCTAGTAGATGGAGAAGAAGTTGACGATGTTGTGCTACTTGTAGTAGAAGATGAAGTGGGAGAGGAAGTACTACTTGTTGTAGGAGACGATGTCGATGAGGTAGTGCTGCTCGTTGTGGAGGATGACGTTGGTGATGATGTTGATGAAGTTGTGCTGCTAGAAGTAGATGATGTTGTTGGAGAAGATGTATTGCTGGTAGTGGATGATGTGGAGCTACTTGTTGTAGGCGAAGAAGTTGACGAGGTCGTGCTGCTTGTAGTGGATGATGTTGTCGGAGAGGATGTGCTGCTAGTGGTTGGGGATGAAGTAGATGATGTTGTCGATGAGGAGGTACTGCTGGTAGTTGGCGATGATGTTGAAGAAGTTGTGCTGCTAGTTGTAGACGAAGAACTTGATGATGTTGTGCTGCTAGTGGTAGGTGAAGAAGTTGATGAAGTTGTGCTACTAGTTGTGGAAGATGTTGTGGGTGAAGAGGTGCTACTGGTTGAGTGAGAGCTTGTACTAGAAGTAGAATGAGAAGAAGTACTGGAAGTTGAATGACTGGAAGTGGAAGATGTGGTCGACGAAGTTGTGCTACTGGTAGTAGGTGATGATGTAGATGAAGTTGTGCTGCTTGTTGTGGATGATGTGGTGGGAGAGGAAGTACTACTTGTTGTAGGAGAAGATGTTGACGAAGTGGTGCTGCTTGATGTGGAAGAGCTAGTTGGTGAAGACGTGCTACTTGTGCTAGATGATGTCGTACTGCTCGTAGTTGGTGACGAAGTAGAAGATGTAGTGCTGCTGGTAGACGAGGAAGTTGTTGAACTGGTAGTTGGTGAGGAAGTAGATGATGTGGTACTACTGGAAGTAGGCGAGGAACTGCTGCTTGTGGTAGAGGAAGTGGTACTGCTAGTAGATGGAGAAGAAGTTGACGATGTTGTGCTACTTGTAGTAGAAGATGAAGTGGGAGAGGAAGTACTACTTGTTGTAGGAGACGATGTCGATGAAGTAGTGCTGCTCGTTGTGGAGGATGACGTTGGTGATGATGTTGATGAAGTTGTGCTGCTAGAAGTAGATGATGTTGTTGGAGAAGATGTACTGCTGGTAGTGGATGATGTGGAGCTACTTGTTGTAGGCGAAGAAGTTGACGAGGTCGTGCTGCTTGTAGTGGATGATGTTGTCGGAGAGGATGTGCTGCTAGTGGTTGGGGATGAAGTAGATGATGTTGTCGATGAGGAGGTACTGCTGGTAGTTGGCGATGATGTTGAAGAAGTTGTGCTGCTAGTTGTAGACGAAGAACTTGATGATGTTGTGCTGCTAGTGGTAGGTGAAGAAGTTGATGAAGTTGTGCTACTAGTTGTGGAAGATGTTGTGGGTGAAGAAGTGCTACTGGTTGAGTGAGAGCTTGTACTAGAAGTAGAATGAGAAGAAGTACTGGAAGTTGAATGACTGGAAGTGGAAGATGTGGTCGACGAAGTTGTGCTACTGGTAGTAGGTGATGATGTAGATGAAGTTGTGCTGCTTGTTGTGGTTGATGTGGTGGGAGAGGAAGTACTACTTGTTGTAGGAGAAGATGTTGACGAAGTGGTGCTGCTTGATGTGGAAGAGCTAGTTGGTGAAGACGTGCTACTTGTGCTAGATGATGTCGTACTGCTCGTAGTTGGTGACGAAGTAGAAGATGTAGTGCTGCTGGTAGACGAGGAAGTTGTTGAACTGGTAGTTGGTGAGGAAGTAGATGATATGGTACTACTGGAAGTAGGCGAGGAACTGCTGCTTGTGGTAGAGGAAGTGGTACTGCTAGTAGATGGAGAAGAAGTTGACGATGTTGTGCTACTTGTAGTAGAAGAT